TACCGATCGAGGAGTAGATCAACAGTTTTTACATAGTGACGCATTGCCTACATTTAGTCAGTATTGTTTCTTCTTCAAGTAAGGTGATTAATTATTAACCTGGGTATTATGCTGTCAATAAAGAGTGAAATAAAATTCATTTTAACATGTTAAGAAAACATGTGGTGCAAATTTAAGTTTTATTCAAAAAAAAAAAAAAAAAACCGCTTTGAATGATGTTATCAGTAGAAAGTATCACAACAATCCCCCCTAGGGGAAACAGAACTTAAAACCACTGCGCAGTTTAGATTTGGATACTTAGTGAACTGCATGTGCTTCTCTACGCGGATTACATTATTGTGGAATCCAGATTAACTCTGATGAATGTTGTCGCTGTGGATTTATCAGCGAATTGTCAGCACACTAGAAGATAATGAGATTCATTTGCATCTACTCCTTCAACATAAGAATATCTTAAATTTTAACATCTTTTTAATTATTTTGGGGAAAAGAAGACGAAAGAAAGCATGATATTCAAGCTTAGAAGAAAAGAAAATTTAATGAGTGTTCTTACACAATTAGACGAAGATGCAAATGGAAATGTAAGTTCATAAAATTCACAATACATTCGTTATTTATAAACTGCAAAGAAACTGATACAGTTAAAGATTTGTTAAGTATTACTGTTATATTTGGAATGCTTAGAAAGATACATAAAATGAACAAATCGAGAAAAATCTATTTAGAAACTAGAACAGAAAAGATGCAATTCTCGATAGTAGTAACGATAACTATATTGGAAAGAAATAAACAATTAGATCAATTAGCAATTTAGAAGCACAGAAAGTTTCAATATATCTTTTTCTAACCAAAATAATAAGTAAAATTTAAATTTTCGATTCGTTATAGAAATATTTCAAATACGAAATTATTCCGGATTTGTTTAAAGCAGAAATATTATTCTTATTAATAGACAAAAATGCTACTAATGCACCTGTTTACATTTTGTCCAGTACAACATTGAAAACTGTAATCGTTAGATCGACTGAATTCAATCTGTGGCGAAAGGGTGGATTGCATGAGTTTTCATAAGATGAGATAAGAATTTCAATCTCAAGGCTATAGAAGTACTCTTTAATTGCTGCGTTTATTCCACTTCTACCTAAGGTTAATTTATTCCCATTGCAGTTTTATGTTATTTACGAATGAATAGATGGTTGTGCTCCTCGTTAACGCCCATTAGGTTTCACTCAGGCGTTAACGGTTCTGCTCTGAATATTAAATATTATCACCGTCGTAACAACATATCAAGAACAAGAAGCAATTATTTCACCGTAAAAAACTCCATAGCTTTTTAAATATTATGCATGCTGGATCCGAGGCCGAGAAATCTAAGCAGGTGGTTTTCCCATCTCTTTGGATAAATCCAATAGCAACTGAATCGTTAATCATTGAGAACATTAATTTACTTCGGCTTATGAATTTTCTTACTATGACGTTGGCTGAGGGGATTAATTTAAGTCTCTAAAAGAGTGCAGCATAACGTAATTACTAGAATTACGAGGAAGAAATTCAAATTTGCGCTCTGGAATTAGGTGCAAGTATGTGTGACTGACTATTTTATCTTTCCCGTAATAAAACTCTGAGATTACCAATCTGAAAACAAAAACGTGAAAAAGAATACCATAGATACATAAAACTAAATTTTTCAAAATAAGATGAGAGCATCATGGAGATACGTAAAATGGATCCAAAGTTTGGAAAAGTGTGGCCACTTTTATCAACACTTATAGGATAGTGATTGGTGTAAAAAAACTGCAGTACATCACAAATATTCCTCTCCACTTTTGCTGGCATTCTTTTGTGTAAATATTGTACACGGCCTTGCTAAATTATATTCTTTACCACCTTCTAAATGCAATTCAATAACGTTCTCAGAAACCTGAGAAAGGTAAATATAAATAGCTTTTGAGATCCATTGGTTTAGTTCTGGTCTTTCAAATAAAGACAGCTGGTTCTGATCTTGCAGGTCAAGGCATCTGATGAACAGTTCGCAGATTCTATAGTTTCAGAAATATGTGGGAATTCTTGATCTTGCCGAAATAAATTTCTCATTTGATTCTTAAAGGGTTATTACATATGTCTACTGGTGGTGTTCATGAGTGCATCAATCTTCGAAATGCCTTGAATAACTAAGCAAAGTGATCTAGGAGCGTAATTGATGGAACTCTACATCAGAAACTTAGTGTCTGTCTTGCATGGCGTTGTACTAGGCATGAAGAAACCTGACCCTTACTTTTCCGTTTCCATACATTCAAATGATAATCACTATAGAAGATTGACCTTGGGTTATTAAATCAATATATTCGTTCTTGCATCGAGTCCGATGATACCATTTCATCGGTCTTGACAGTAATATGGTGCCAATTCAAATCTCGCTAACGGTACATGTTTCCAAAAGGTAATTTCTGATTTGCTCGGGGTGAAATTGCCTTCGTTGCCGTAAACACTCAATTGGCTAAATGTCTGCTCATCCGCCTCATTTGCTCATTTGCAACTTCCTGATACATGTTAAAATTTTATATACCATCAAAAACAATCATGAGTTTCAGATACCTTTTCTATCACTCTGACCAAAGGACTATCTAACTTCTTATAGACTATTAGAGAATCCCTCCCAAATCCCGCTGATTATGGAAAAGATAGAACTCTTCGTGGCGTAGACGTAAAAGCTGTGGGATAAAAGTCGTTTAAATGCACACATTAAATATATAGCAATGTTTTTCAAATCCTTAACAACTAAAAGTGATCTAATAAATACATCAAATTCCTAATTGCCTTTAAATTCTAAGCTTTGCTAAAGACCTCTAACACTTTAATTTTTTCTGAAATTCCACTTGATGAAAACATTAAAATTTAGAATCAGACCCGTATTCTTATTTAATACCTCTTTGTCATTTCCTTAGCTTTAAACCACAATTACAAGCTTATGGGTTATTCCGGTGTTTAAGTAGGAATATTTTTAAGTACAAAAATTAATTTAGAGAAAAAGAATTTGATCACAGGAAAGAAAGAATTGGAGACAGATACTACATATGCTTAACTCCTTTAACAAATCCTATTCAGAAATCATAATTACGTATCGCTTTGCTTTGCAGTGAGATGTAGTTTAATTTAAAGTGTACTAATTATTTAAAAAAGGTAAACCAAACGCAAATAAAACAAAACACATATTTTATTAAATCGCAGGTCAAGATAAAAGTGCAGCAACATGCCATTCTCATAAGGACACGATGAGTATTCTCATAAGAATAGTAATATAATCTACAACTGATATTAAAAGTATCTTTCATTTCTGAGCTTATTATTTATTATCAAGTTAATTAAAGCCAATCTAAATGGAAAAATTAGTGTTACTGTTACAAAGGAATTTCAATATTTTTTGTCAGGAATTTGCTCCAGATTCATTTTTTAGGTCCTTTCACGCAGGAAAGGAAGTATTACAATAGCAAAAAATTCGGGTATCATATTTTAGCAAAAAAATCGATGCTGAACGATGTTCTTGCATGACGTCTTCTCTTATGGTCAGAATAAATGACTCCTTTTTTTCCAAAACGCATTGTAAAACTGATATAAAATGGATGCAGAAGATATTTTTTGTGACGTCTGTAGGCACGTACTTACGTTCGAATGTATGTATCTCACGTAACTCAAAAATTTTTAGTCTCAGAACGCTGAAATTTTCTATCTGGAACCGCTATAACATGTAGTTGTTCTGGTTACAATCGGCTGCAACAGCTTTTATTCTTATATGCTGGTAAACTGTGCATTTTTTGCCTTAAAAGTGATTGAATTATGCTGTTATTTTATTCCGATTAAGGTACTTATACCTTTCCTTAATCTGCATGTAATAGTTGTAGAATTGCCAACAATTTAAACGTTGTTCAAGTGGTACTAATCCTAATGCAGCAGCCATTTGTTTACATTTGAAATGCTTAGTAGAATAGTGAAGTAAGTCAATTTGTGCACCAACTTTGTGCCGAATTGAACCAAAAGTAAACTTTCATTTATTACGCACCAAAAACTCTGCTTTCCTGCCCGCTAGCCGAACTGCTTGTTTTGGCGTAGACACACTAATTTTAATTGTAAAAATTGTTTTTTAGATGTTTCAAAGTGTATTTGGTGTTTTATGTTTTTTCCTGTATTTTACAATTTTTAATGAAGATGCTTTGAGATTTTATCTATTTTTGTATTGCCGCGATTATGAGAACAGAATTAATTAAATGAGAAATATATCTGTAATGGAATTCGAAGAGTTAAGTTTAAATAAAATGCAGCAGAAATATATATATTATATAGGTCATACAAAGAAGGCATGTGGTGTCTGCACAGATGTTTTAAATTATATGACAAAAGCTCTGAAAATCTATTTAAAGCGTTAAAAATTATTTACATACCTTTATGACTAGGTCTTATGTTTACATTCATTCCACGAAATGAGACATTGCGTCGTACGCAACCAATTTTACAATAAAGCAAGACCAATAAAGCGGTTGTTGCTAAAATTTTCAGCTTTGAAAACCAGGTAAAATTAAACCATTCATTGCAAATGTCCTACAGTTTGAAATTTGGGGTTAGTGTGTATCATGGAACTGAATAATGCGATATTACAAAACATGACGTCCTCTTGTATAAGAATAACGCGATTTTTGTAATCTGCTTTACTGAAAATTTGATCATGAATATAAGTTCGCATACGTATTGAGTTAAGAAGATAAAAAGTATTAAAGAAGATAAATAAAAAATATAAATACGATACTTTGAAAAAACTCTAACTAAATATAAATTTGTAACATAAAATTAAGGAATAGCTTTCAAATTATGCAATATATTTTCTGAGTATTATACTGTGTATATAACAGGCGTATGGGTTTCAGAAGAATAATTTAAGCGACCGTCATCATCTTATATTCAGAACAGTACCTTATTTTAATGTTTACAAAAGAATATTTAGTACTTACCTCAACATTCATGAAACAATAAAGAATCGACACGAAAATCCCCTGAAAAAAATAATTAATTTATTGAACATAATATTTCTGACGAAATAAATTTAATCCACACACAAATGAAAGAATAAGAGTATTTTTTTAATTATATGAAAATATTGCTGTTTATATGCTTACAAATAAAGCATGTTACAAAATTATTCAACAATAGAAAAAATTATGACTGTCATTTTATGATCATTGGAATTCAGAGCAAGGTTTTCCCCAGAAATTCGTTATCAAATATAATATAACATCTTAGGCATGCGTAGCAAGAAAGAATATATAATCTACGGAACTTGGTAAAAATTATTACTTTAAAAACAGAGCATTCCGATAGATTATATGATTAAATATTTATTATCCCAAAGCGCGTTGGCACAAAAGGGCTATTAATTTCGTTTTGGCATTTTGCGTCGGTTTACTATAAATATCAGGTCATTTTTCAAATTGTTGGCACCAAATGTTAAAGCCCTGTATTACATTTAAAGAAATTAAGTAATGAAGAATCTGCATAAATGTATGTATGTTTCTCGCATTGTGTGAAAACAACGGTTCCTAGGGTCATCCAAATTTTGAAAAATGTACTTTCTGCCCGAATATGGGCCTCTATGGAAGCCCAAATTTGAAATTTGGAATTTCTTTTATTATCTATTTAATATTTTGTAAACCTTTAATGAATTTTTGATTTACAAATTCAACGGTTTCAAAGCGAGCAATGGCAACACTGTACGGGAAAAAAACATTTTCATCTCCAGCGCGCGCGACAGTGTATCGGAAATTCTAAAGATATGCTGAATTTAAAATTATTTTGCGATATTGCTGTTGAACTGAATTATGTGGTTTAAGTGTGAAGAACATGATATTTAATAAATAAAGGTAACACACAGAACGTTAAAAAAAATTCCCCTTTGGGCGTAATATAAATGAACCTTGTAGCCTGCTCTTTCGCCTAGTTCTGAACCCAAAAGAAATGGAAGAACCAGTATTCAATGATAATAAATTACACACTAAATAATTAATCATTTTCTTTGTTAAATAAGTAAAAATGTTTGTAAATAGCATTAATTTCTCATGGAATATTACTTATAACATGTCCACTCCTCTGTTATCTGGTAATGCTACTATTAAATATAGGATTATATCTTCTGTGTCTTTAAGGAGATTAATTTTGAAATATTAGGTTTATTGTAATTGTTCAGTTTTAAATTACTTTAAGCATTCTATCTGTAATCTAAATTCCAAAATGAAATTGTATTTTTGATTTAATATTAACTTTTCATTTTTAAAATGTACTTTTTTTATTTGAAATGTTTTACTTTTTTATATATAATTCTTTCTTCAGAAATGCATATGACTTTGAAAGGTGGTCACGGAGATCACTGCAGTAAGATATAAACAAATTCTTTATTCGCTTTTTTCTGACATATAAACTTTATTTTATTTCAAGTAAAGTAAAATTAACACATTGTGAATGTCCTAATTTTACTTTTAAAAATGTTACTTAATTTTACTTCTTAACAAAGCAAAATTTTAAACATGTTGAAGAAAATCTTCGATACATTGTCACAGTTATTCGTCACTCCATATAATAGCTGGCAGTTCATATTCTGCTGGCTATTCCCACATTGATAGAAAGTAATTTAATATCATATTTTTTTATTTGCCATTGAAGCTCTTTTATCAAATACTAAACAGCAAGTTCTTCTATTTGATATGGCAGTTGATCTTAAATACCAAATGAAATAAATTTAAAAGGATTTTACGAAGGAAATTTTAATTTATTTTTTCTGACACTTAATTGCTTTTTAATATGTAAATTAAAAAACGGTCTATTTAGAATACAATAAAAATATCATTATAAAATTTAAATTAAGTAGCAGAACTTTAATATTCAGACAAAGTCATAACTCTGTCCTTCATGGAAGATTAAAAAAAGATACAAATTTAAAAATTAAAATCTAAAAGCTTTCTGATTTTACATTACGCCCAAAGAGGAATAAAAAAAAAATAATTATTATTGCAATGGATTTTAAAATAATTAAGATTTGTGATTTACCTTTCTTATTAAATATCATGCTCTTCGCACTTAAACCATATAATTCAGTTCAACAGCAATATCACAAAATAAATTTTAAATGAGCATATCTTTAGAATTTCCGATACACAGTCTCGCGCGCTGGTATTTTTTTTTTTTTCGTACAGTGTTTCCATTGCTCGCTTTGAAATCATTGAGTTTGTTAATCAAAAATTCATTAGTGATACAAAATACGAAATCGATAATAAAGAAAATGCCAAATTCCAAATTTGGGCTTCCAGACGCCCATATTCAGTGGAGGATTACATTATTTAACATTGGATGGCTCTAGGTACCGTTAGAGAAACATACATACACTTATGCAGATTCTTTAGTGTTTAATTTCTTTAAATATATCACAGGGCAATCATATTTGGTGGCAACAATTTGAAAAGTGAACCGACATTTATAGTTTTCAACGCAAAATGCTAAAACGAAATTAATAGCTCTTCTGGGCTAACGCCCTTTTGGCTAAAAAAGTCCACGTTTGGCGTAAGCTAGAAGTTTGTCTACTGAACATCAAATCGGAACCTAGTAGGCAAACGCTGAACACATATAGAAGTAATAAACTATTCGTACTAGTTTTACTAAAGCTGCATAAGGCATAACTTTGAAACATGGGGAAGATATGCGTGTCATTTGAAGTATCGTATCATGTCATTTTACGTCGGCGTAATCTAAATACTGTTTGTGTCAAAATACAATGATATAAATTTAATGTGTAACTTTAGTTGCATTTTATGTTTACAAAAATGTTGTCTTTTGTCGATGTCACTTGTGCAGTAATATACTATTGCAGTTTTAGGTCATTAACTTTAATTTCTAATTTTAAGACATAGAACAATGTGAAAATTATAAATAAGTAAGAGATGAAATGACAGCGTCACGTGCAAAGCAAGGGAAATGAACTTTTATATTATAAAAAGAATGTGTCGAAACGTTTTCGTTATTTTCTTTGTCTGTATTGTCTTATCTTTATCTATTTTCAGACACATTGTGTAAAAATATTTGGTAACTGTAAATTATTATAATAAGTTAAAGAAATATCAAATTACTAAAATTTTTGGCGACCCCCCAATTTAAGAAACCCTGCCCTGACCCTGAGTGATACTTTTTATTAGAAAAGTAATATCTACTACAATCTGCCTTAAGCCGCTTTTAACAGAAATTGAAAAACAAGCTTCTACTTCGTGGCCTAGAGGAAAAGAATTAAATAATTTATTGCTGAATACCATATAAAAGTCAAAACCGGTTTTATAGTTGCAATACGATGATAATTAATAACAGATAAAAGGAAACTATAAAAAAAGCAGAGCTCCAAGTCGCTATAAACTTCAACCTCTTATTTTAAATATCATCCAAATGAGTAGATTTGTCTGGTAGAAATACACTCATGTCCATAAATTAAGGATAATGCAAAATCAGGCAAAGGAAGAGTTCGAAGCAAAACAAATTTAACTTATTTGTAAAGCTTATTTATTAAACAAAAGGTAAAGAGCAAAAAAAGATGATATATGTTTGATATTATTAAAAAAAATAGCGATCTTTTCTCCCTGGAGCAAATTACAAAAAAAAAAAAAAAAAAAAAAAAAAAAAAAAAAAAACCTATTTACAAAAAACCAATATTACGTGGTTGGTATGATTGTTAATACATTGTATGTCTCCCAGACGATGCAATACAGTCCGTACAACGCCTAGGCATGCTGAATATCAAATTATCGATCTGATCTTGGGGGATATTACACCACTCAAAAGCAATGCTCTCCGAAGTTCCGGTAGACATGTAGGAGGAGGTTGGCGGGCTGCAAATCGTCGGCCAAGCATGTTCCACACGTACTCTACTAGATTTAAGTCCCGTGAGAATGCTGGCCAGTCCATACGGGGGATATCCTCCGATTCAAGGCATTCACTTACGATGTTTGCACGGTGAGGACGGGCATAAACACAAATTGTGCGCCCATGGCGCCCCGAAACAAACGTACATGTTGTTCCGGAATGATGTCCCGATAGATTCATGGTTCCAATTTGGACATGCAAGTCAGTTCTGGAACCCAGAATAATTCCACCCCAAACGAGCACTACTGCACCACCGTAACGGTGTCGTTCAATGATGTTTTCTAGGTGGTAACGGGTACCTGGAGCTCTCCATATGAAAGTCCGGTGAGAATCAGACTGCAAGCTAAACCTGGACTCGTCGGAAAACATAACACAAGCCCACTGTTGTGGTGTCCACAATGCATGCTCTCTACTCAAGGCTAACCGCAGGCGACAGTGAGTTGCAAGTAAGTGGAAGGCATCTGACAGGTCTACGAGCATATAGACCAATCTGCCCTAAGCGTCTGTACACGGTCTGCCTTGAAATTGTTGTACCAGTGGCTGAAGAGAGCTGACGAGACAGGTCTGAGGCTGTGCTCCGCCTGTTTCTTTTGGCAGTAACTGCCAAATACCGGTCCTCATTCGGCGTTGTAACTCTGGACCATCATCTTGGAATCGTTGCCAAAGCCTGGAGATGAAACTCTGGGCAATTCCAAGTTCGTCTGATACTTCCAGTTGGGTGCGCCTACATTCCAGGCGGCCTATAATTTTACCACGTAAAACATCATCCAAATGCGTCCTTTGTGTCGTACTAGTCGGTTATTGCACTGAAATGCTTATAAAGCGCCTGCGAACAATTTTACTTCTTTGCCTGTATTCCTTATATATCACTCTCTTATAGTCTCGTCATTGTGGCGTACCATCGGTGTCATCTGGTTACTTCCTGAAATTTGCATATGATTCTTGAAGATGTGTGTAGTGATTTTACAGGTGATATATTTATTTTAGAGTTCGATTTCCGCGTGACTCCAAATTATCCTTAATTTATGGATATGAGTGTATATTCCGTTTTGCTTAAAATATACTTCTTAAAATATACTGTTCTGCAAAATTAAACTGCGGTTTTCATATAAACAGTTTTAGACGTAAGTAAGCACATTCACTTTCATCGATGCTTATAATCTGTCTTGATTTAATATTTTGAAAAGGATATGCAAAGCAAAATAATGCCTAACGGTATGTGAAAGAGAAATCTAATTTTGGAACAGTCAGGGAGGTCTAAAAATGCTTTTCCCTCAAACCATGATGAAAGACTGTTTCTTTTCCGCATTTATGTTTTATGAGAAAAAGTAGTTTTGTAAATATACTATACAAGATTGCTTCCTGATTTCGAAATGACAACAAAAGTAACGTTACCAAAAAGGGGTTACTTAGGCTTTTACGAAATATTATTCTAAACATAGTATATTTCATGAAGATGAATATTCCGAAATGAAGAGAGATAAGAAAATTCAATTTCTGAAAACTAAAAATCTTAATAAAACCTGCGTTACTATTACCTATGCATTATGCAATAAGTAGACAGAAAATAATGAGCTTTTTTGCGTATGAAACTGCAATATCCAATGTTCTATCCAAATTTTTTAAATAAGACTTCTGAATAAAGTATCTAACCTCAATAAATACTGTTTTGAAATCGAAACTTTTTCAATCCACCTCCCCCAAAAAAGAGCTATCCTCCTTTATAGTAAATGACATTTCATGACATAAGTACGTTTCATGACATTTATTCATGACATTTCATGACATTTATTAGGTTGGCTACTTTTGGAAGGGGGTATGAGATTACGGTTAAGCCTCGAGGGCTATCTACCTAAGAAAACATGGACTTGTGGAGGAATTTCTAACGGAAACTTGCTTGCATACATGTTACACATGAGGAAAACCACGAAAACACCCATGCAGTCAGCCCGTTCGCGAGATTCGAACCTCGAACCGATCTATCAGTGTTCAGCGACTACCGCTTGGCTTGGACGCTGGTGGGCTCTGACATAGGTATGAAAACTATGTTAAATAGATAAAATTCGCCGAAAATATTCTTCAGTTTTTTAATTATGAATTACAGTTTATGCAGTGATACGACACTTCCTCATGGCAATTACTTTCTATAATGTTAGTTGGTATCATGGGGGTAAGAATCTCCTACCTCAATGGTAGGGATATAACATTTTTTCTGGAACACCACAGGCTAGGTGTCAGTCGGGATCACAGAGAGGGAGATTTAAGAAGGGCGTTATTGTCAGACAGGTGCGAGTTTCTACATAATCATTGACTCCAGTCACGTGTTTAATCCTGTTTAAACATTTGATGATTTATTTCGGAAGCGGTTACAACATGCGGAAATCTGTCCATCTCGAACAACCACCACTATACGGGGTCAGTCTCTTCCATGTTGTTCTCTAAATTGTTATTCTCAAAGATATCAACCAATGTATGTACAGAGAGATGTTAAAACTTCACGTTACTTCTTCCTATGTTATCATTTATTTTGGTTTGCTCAATATCTTTCATTTTATTTTTAATATTTGCATCCATATACTTCGACCTTTAATTTCTTTAAAATTTCGTTTTTCACAATTTATCTCATTTTATTTAGTGATTTTTAATTATTACTTATCCACCATTAATGAAATCATCAATATTTGTTATTCAAATCCTTATCTTGTGCACTTTTTTATTCCGTTTGTAGAAATATCCTATCATTTTTCAAAATTAAATTAATTTGCTGAATTGTCGTTTTTTCATGCTACGATTTAAGCAGCATTTTCAGGAAACGTGAAGGTGTTCGAGATTTAAATGCTAATTTTAAATTATCTGACACTTCGTTTATGATATTCTAATGTATCTAGTAACATTAAGATTGGAAGATAAATTCTTCAATTTATGTATTTCAAGAAAGCGTCATTAATTTTTTAAATTTAACTGACGTATATTCACAGAAATATTCGCACTTTACGAAAATATTAAAATTTTTAGTCGCGTACTAATACTGAGCATTTAAAGTATTTTATCTGTGTTTCTAGCATTTTAGTATTTTCGTCCATTTTCTTCATAGTTTGATGTTCTTTATTTATCAGTTACTTCTAAACTTCAGGAAAAGTGCACTGGACTGCTGTTTACAGCATTCGTTAGACCATTATGACATAATAAAATGTTTATTCTGTTTTAAAATGTTGGATTTAATGATTGATTTGAATCTCAGAAGAAATTTCGTGTTGTTAATAATAGTGCATTTCCTTTGATGCATATGCAGTCTAGGGAAAGAAATGAGTAAAATGAATTGGTAATTGCATTATGCTTACCTGAGATGATTGGAGCGTAGCATTTGTGATCATGTATGCTTCTTCTAATTTGCTATCATCTCTTGGATTTACACAGAACAGTAAGTGGGTAATTCCCAACAGGGGAAATAAGAGAGCAGTGGCTTTCATGGCTCGTCTGAAAGCGAAGATATGAAATGAATGATATATCCTAAGCTTTCTATTAATCAAAATTCAAATTCTATAAAAATATTGCTTTGTTGTATATTAGTGAAACTACAACCCACAATTCTACTCATTCATCAGATAATGGTTCGAAAAAGGGTTCTTAATTCTGAAGCCGATTTCTATTAATCTGAAATCCGTAATATCCTGTAGAAGGTTGGTTTTTTGGGATCCGCTACGAAGATTCTCATGTATGAAAGAAAATTTAAGACATCTGAATACTTAACAATCAACTATTAATAAATGAATGATACAAATGGAGATCTATGAGCATGTTCGTGCAAGTTTCGTATTTTATTACTTAATGCACAGAGACAAATTATACCTCCTAAATTATATTTATATATATTAATTGTATATGTATAAAATATAACTCAAAATATTAAATAAATAAAAACTTGCCAATTAAACAAAATCATGTAAAAGTGCGTTACATATAAATATATGTCTTATACACACATGTCAAAACAACCAATATTTATAAAAATATAGAATGCAAAAAAGGTACTCTTTTACATACTTTATGAGAAATACATAGCACAATTCCAAAATTCTGTTAAAATTTTTAGACATATAACGCCCCGAAATGTTTATTTTCAATATAGGATCGACTGATAACACCACACTTCTTCTATCCCTTGTGAAGATCTTAGAAGCTCTTTTCGAATTCATTATTCCAAATGTCTTTCAGTTAAATCAACTTTGGTCTGCAATTTTATTGAAAATTTTTATGTTGATATGCCAATTCAAGAAACTGAAAAGAATTGTCTTATCTGACGTTAAAACGGATATGGTGCTTCTGCAAGCACAGGAAATCCTGTTTTCGGGAATAAGAACCATCACGATTTAGCGATAGGTCGGAAAATGTCAAGATGAACAACATGGTCGATGTCAAAAATACTTATATGAGAATTTTGCTTTAGTTGTTTGCTTTCTTTGAGAAATGTCTTCACCCAAGTTTACGCAACTGGCACCTTCTAATTCAGTGGCATTCAAACGCTGTGGCAGTGCAAGACCATAAAAAAAGCAAACGACCTCCAAAAAACAGTTTCGTGGCCCCAATCAGAGCTTTGACCCTTAGTTGTATACAATCAGTAAAGATTTTTGAGAATTTTATCCACCATAATCACTATAAATTTTCGCGGCTCGGCGGGGTTGGGACCCGTAGTTGGAATACTACTGCTCTAGTTCAACATCATGTCTTGAACAACAGGAAACTTCAATGTTATTCTAAAACTTTCATACAGGGCTAAGTAGTAAGATCATAACATCTTGGTCATAACACCTTGTAGGCTTCTGCTGAGCATTAGAACTCAATTTTCACTCGCTACTCAACAAACACCGTCTTTTCACCTATTATCAATCACAAAGCGCTTGGCCCAGAATATCTATATATACCGAAAATGAAATAACTGGCCAAAACTGCTTTTCAGTTCACGAAAACAATGCAGTAACTTAATTGGGGAATTACCGAGGTTCCACTAAATAAGATCTGTCTTTTTCTTTGCTGATGAGCTTTTATTCAACCTGTTACGAAATACAGCCTCAACATTCTTTCGTTGTTTTAATTTAATTATTCTTCCAGCCAAACAAATCAGTTAGCACTTATTTGTGATTTAAATATAAGAGATTATTATTTGTATATAATTATAGAAAAAAGTATTACAAGACGACAGAAACTGAAATATGTTACTTGATATTGATAGTTAGCAATTATTTCATACGACTTAAATGAATATTCAGTAATTTCTCTACTTATCGCGATCAGGAAGGCTTAGGTTCAGATTCATATGAGCAATTTCGAAAGTAATATCAATAAGCTGAACAGTATTCCAAGCATTTGCCTTATAGATTAATTGTTACCTTAGCGCAACTGTATAGGTTATAAGGTATTAATTACTCTTTTACCACGTACCTTCGTGTTGAAGCACATCAGACTAGCAGTCGAAAGGTCTGGACTCCGAATTCCAGTGAGGCATAGCTCATTTTTCATTTTTTCCCACTTCGACAAACCTAATGATTCTATAAGGTCAAAAAGTAATATCGAAGGAAGAGCAAACTTAAGTTAAATTTCCAGGAAGCTTAATATCCGGAAAGAGCAAAAGTAAAGGTAATCAATACAGGTAATCAATATCCTAGGTTATTCTAAAAATTCTTATTTCAGAACGAAACTGTTATTTAACTGTACCGTATGGATGGAACTATCTTGCTGGCATATTGTATAGTGGTCCTGTTCTCATCGAACACGAGTTATGCGAGGAATAGACTAACTGAAACTATGAGTTGTCAACAAGCGGCGAAGTTTTACTGGCTATTCTGAACAAAAAGATTCCACAAAGCTAAATATCGATAACACTAAAATTTGAAGAATCCGCATCTATTTTCAAAGCTTATTTGAGACGAAAACTAGAAAATACTTCGATTTAAAAAATTTATCCCATTGCGGTTTTGAAATCAGAATTCTGAAATGTTTCAAAAATACATTTTACTGAAAAGATTTCATTCTTGAAGTAATTGAAAACTTTTTTCGCTCAATTTTAAGGTTAATTCTCAATTTTTAATTTATCAAGAATAAATGAAAACTTGTTTCAATATAAATGTTAGAACAGATAGTCATTTTGTCACTTTAGTTGTTAATTGCATAGTTTCTAGTTTTTATTGTTACACAGTTGCTAGAATTAATTGTTCAGTTGTTAGTATTACTTATATTACTTGCATTACTGATATACGGAACAGGAACAATGTAATCAAGAAGTTAGGCAAAATTCAAGTCTCATAGAAAAAAATAAGTATTTCTATGAAGATTGGAACGTCCTCCATATATTCAAAGAAAAAAAATATTCTGCAGCATAATTGGGAAGCAGTTCACCTAAATAGGCAAAACAAAACGAATTAATAAACAATAAAAAATTCACAAGATAAAGAATTTTAAAACTTTGGCAAAAGTTAGGTAGGAATTAAAAATAATTCATTAAGGTGGTCAGTGAATATGGAACCCATGAAGAAAATATCTAACACTTTTTTTTTAAAGTGGTATTGTGTTCTAAGGCATAATTTCAGGACCGAAGATAGTTCGCTAAAGAAAATTTATTATTTTCTTCGTTCCTGATGCAAAGCGCATCTTAACTGAGTTTTTCTAATTAAGATGGAATTTGCCTAATTTTATTTATCTATGCAGTTAATAAGCAAGTTCAAAGAGATGAAATTTTGTTCTTATGCAATATAAGTAAAATTTGGACCATACCGAACTTGAACTATTTCAAAAGTCGAGCTGGTTTTCATCTTTGTTACTAGAATACGTATGATGTTAACTAAGAAAATCAGATTAATCTGAAAAGAAACAAAAATTAGAATTAACGAACAGAATGACACTTTCGCTCAAATAAAAAGTTATTTCTTATAACAAAACATAATATAAATCACCTGATTGATTTTCTGTGTTAATATTTTATTATTAATAATGAGTTTGTGTAACAGATGAAATATACATTAGACTCTTTGTCAATGACATTTCATTGTAATAAAAATTTCCATGTAAAGAACAACGCCTCGGACACCAAGAAAATAACTGACTACAGTTCCGCTCTGTCCTCCCCCCTTGGTGGCAATTTCATCTGCTGTAGATCTGCTTTGCTTCCGCTTTTTTTATTAGCTGAATATTTTTTTTTATTGGAAATTCTTTACATTTAGCAAACACTGGCTAACGTAAAATACAACATTCATTTTGGCATCGCCTTCTGCGTTGTTACATCACTATATTTCTATTCTTAATTCTCAATTCGCCCTTATATTATCTCATTAATAGACGATTCAGTTATTGCAGAATGAAGTAAATTGCAAATTCTTAGAACACGCTTGTACTTACTCCAAGAGCGCCAATCATAGGTCCTGTGATAATCCAAACATACGGTGAGCGGCCATAACCTTCCCAGCAATCCGTACTTAAGTGAGAACTCATGGTGCTGCACCAGCTGATGATAAGAACAAGTGGAATGCCTGGCAAAAGAAGGTAAACAAAATATATTTGGAAGTGTTTGCGTAAATTAATATCGATGCTACAAATATTCTAATAAATGTGTACTTATAAAAAGTACAGAAATTAATTAAACATTCCTGATATATTGAAAAATGCTTAAGTATCCTTCATGGAAAATATCAGGTGACATGTGACAGGTGACGGAGGACGGGGATGCCTGGTGTATAACAGAGGTAAACAGGCATATGTCCCGCACCATCTCCTATCTACCGGGAGTTTATTGAGATCTTAAAAGAATTATTACATTGCCATACAGGGGCAGATGAGAGATACATTGGCTATTTATGTTGTATTACAGATTTTAGGTTTGCAAGGTATACATTACATAACCTACTGGTTACACATTAAAAAATCATTAACATAACACATACATGACACATAAACACTATTAATAAAGGACGTACATGCGCTTAGCAGAAAGAAGATACACATAACTAGCACATTAAGCACACATTTGTGTGTAGTTTAGTACTTATGCTGAGGATCAATTTTGAATATGCATTCGATATACAGAATGCATAATGCCAAATACACTTAATGTAGATATGTTACTCATAATACTGAATACACTGATAATACTACTTACGACTACTATATACAGAATAAACTTGGGATTACTACATACAGGATACATAATGCCAAGTACACTTAATGTAGATATGTTACTCATGATACTGAATACATTCATAATACTACTTACATCCGCTGCAGATACCTGACTCATATTACATTGCTTGCATTTAATATACATGTTCAGATACAGATCATTTGTGATATGCTCGAGATTGCTATATACATGCTTTAAACTACTATATACAGAGTACATACAGAATGCCATATACAGAATAAACTTTGGATTACTATATACACAATAGATAATGCTAAGTACACTTAATGTTGATATGTTACTCATAATACTGGATACATTGTAAATACTGCTTACGCACGCTGCAGATACCTGGCTAATATCACATTGCTATGCATTTAACTATACATGTTGCAGATACAGTACATTTTCGATATGCTCGAGATTGCTATGTACACGCTTGAGACTACTACATAACATGGAAAATATCAACATGAATGAAAATACAAGTTACGCTACATAAAATCTGAGTAAGGTGATTTCTGTCTCGTAATAATTCAATTTTATATTTTACTAGCGTAAGTACGCGATGCCAATTAGGTTAGGAGTAATGCATCTAACAACAGACAGAACCATAACCACTGTAATCCTTCTCTAACAACGATGCAAAAAATACGATTCAGTCTGATGCGATATGGAATCCACATAAAAAATTTCGATAAAAAAACTAAGCTAATTCTCTCTTATTACATCAGCAACAATGGCACGCGGTATTTAATGATTTTCGTCTTCTAATCAAAAGGTCGTAAAAACTCAAGTTTCATCCAGTATTTCACCTATATTCAATTTTTTTCGATTAAATGTGGCAAAAACTTTTGATCAGAAATCAATAACGCGAACAAACAAAAAACACACATTCTTCTTTCTCTATATAGATTTTGTAAAACTTATAAATTTTGCTTTACAAGCTCTACGATTTGAAAGCTAGCAGTAGCAACACTTTTCGAAATAAGGCATTTTTACCTGCAACGCCCGAGACTGTTGCCATTCGGAAAAATGAGTGCGAAAATTAGCGCTTTTAGAGTTTTTAATTAATATTTCGGCTGATTAAAATCGTACGAAGATGGGAATAGTCGTAATAGCTTTCCACGAATTTTTGGAATCGGGAGTAATGTATTTAATGTTTGGTAATGCTATTTTTATTTCATCGTAAAACTTACAATTTTTTTATTAACAAGATCTAGTGTTTGGAAGCGAGCAATGGCAACAACTTTCGAAATAAAGCAGATTTCCATCTCCAACTTGCCAGACTGTTGCCACTTAGACAGAGAAAATTGTCGTTTTTCCGAGTTTTTAATTAATATCTCTGATTTTAGGTAAATTTTTTTGAAAAAAAGTGGACGTCGACTTTATTCGAGGACCCAGAAAAGAATCGTAGAAAGTTTGGCGACGATAGCTATAATAGCGACTGAGTTATTAGAGGACAAACACACAGACTTTATTTTTATACATATAGATAATACTGAGAAATTGCTTTGCATTTAATAAGAAACATCATTCGAATTCCGACTCTGGACTACTTTCCTGGCCCACAATTTGCGCTAGATAAAGTTTTTGAGCGCGTACCTGCAAATGTGATAGTAGCAAATATGTAATACTCCCATTTACGGAAAAGGAACATATAATAAAAAACATGTTACAGCATATTTAGTTATTTTCTTCTGAAGTAATTTTTATATGCATCCTTAAATCTGGAACTCTGAACTCAAAACGTAAACAGACAGGGAAGAATCGGGCTTAAACCAGCTATTTACTAACTGGCGTATGTTTGAGAATGTTTTGATGACCAGCATTCCTCTCGCATTTCTAAATGTTGATAGTTTCTCCAATGTAACAACGAAATTCCTGGTACTTCCAGTGCTTCAGCTGAAATATCATCTATCGGACCGCTCTTGTGGTCGATAATTCCCAAGCTGCAGTTTCCGTGAAAAACTCTTCTAACCAAACCTTAACTTTGACGCTTTTCACTACTTATCGAGCATGAACAAAAATTTAATCATTCCCTATAGTAGTGCAACAAAACTCCAAAAACGAGGCGAGACGTTAGAATTTCGCTCAAGTTCTAATTTTGTTTTTCTTAGAATATGTTGTCTTTACATGCTACGCCTTGTTTTCTTAGAAAAGGAAAATTATTGTTAGATCCGTCGTATCTCGGACGGTAATGTTTCCTAAATTTACTTATCAATTATTTTTTCTACAGTCTGCAGTTTTTTGAATTGGTGAGTCTAAATCTTTCCTTCTTCCTTCTTTCCCGTATTCTTACAAAGACGAGCACGACTGACAAAGGTGTCATGTGTTGCGTACACTCTATGCTTTTCCACAAATAAATAATCACTTGCGAGATTCATTTTCTTCGAATGCCATTTGTAAGAGAAAAGTTTCTGCTTCGATTTGTTTGCACTAAATTTTCAGAATTTCTAGGAAACTGTCTCTGTTTACATTGATGTTAAATTTACCTCTCATTTCTCCTAATCACCAGCTGATTAGGAATTTACTTCCTTATATATTTATGTAAACTGTGAAATGTAAATGACTCTTGTGGTGTATATAAACAAGCATTCCTTTATAATGGTAAGCACCACTCCCCCTTCATGCCCACAATTGTCAAAACATAATTTGTCCAGAAAACACTAAGTTTGCGAAACTATTATTAGTTGCCAATGCCAAAAGCGATATCTTCTCTAAGCTTCCTATAAAAATCCTAAGTGTCTTTCCTAAGTAGTGCTTCCTTCTTCTGTGCTCTCATCTCACACGAAACAATATTACTCCATAGCTTAATTTAATCTCAATGTTGAAAATATTCTTTAGGCCAGGTGCACAGCCGGTATAATATTTTAATGATGAATATTCATGCGAAGGTACTGCTTTTAATTACCACTTTACCATTTTGATTTGAATTACCATTTTGATTACCAAATACATTTTGTGCTAAACGATACTGTCTGAAATTGAAGTCAACAGCAGTTTTTTTAATACATTTAAAGCAGATAAGGCCAACCTAATCTAAAGTACATTAAGCTAAGTTTCAGTACGTTAGGTATTATAAAGAGAGTTGAGTGATGATGTTGTAAACTGAGGATGACTTTACCAACATATTTTCGTCAGCAAAATTGAGGATCACGTATATATAAGTTTCTTGCATCGTTTGTATCCTCAGTATATGTTATGTATTCTGATAACTGGACATTTCCCTTAATTCATGTTTGGATGAAAACAAATTTGGCCTCAAAGGGCTGACTGCTCAGACCATGAAACTGAACTTTAAAAGTGAAATTAAACTGAATCTCATGCAATTACCTAACTTTCTTTAAATGTGTTTATTATGGACATTCACGTTATGATATTTGTAGCAACGTACATACAAGCAGCAACATTGCCCAGCTCAAGAAGTACCGCCGGTTGCTAAAATAAATCAAAAACATGTTATTTATGCAAGTAGTTATTATTATCGTATTATTATCACAGGTTTTGATACCATTAGAAATATCACATTTCTTGGGGTTCACATTCAATTATCTCATCATGGCTTAACCTGGAGCCTTCATTTGTTTCTGTTCTCTTTAACATTGGCTAATTTCGAATCACCACATTCTAAATTTTTATCTAATAAAATCCTATACTCTCTGTAATTTTTATCCTTCAGCAATCATTCTTCTATGCTTTCTGTCTTACATTTGGATATTGTAAACATAACAAATATCTAATTAAGACGAAATTCTCTTAGCTGTTCAAAGGCAAAATCTTTTCTTTTGATAACAGGGATCAAATTTCCTCGAGGTATAAACTAGAAATAAATTTTAATTTTATTATAGACATTAACAATGAACCAAAAAGTTACTTCAAGACGAACAAATATGTCGTTTCTTTGTCATTAGATTCTTTTTGATGATATGAGGATAAATTACATAAAAAAATTGGGAGTTTATTAAATCATGAAATTAGACCCTCATTTTCAAATGTTATTAAACGCACTTAGGAGACGGGAGACCTAAAGGAAAAAGTGACAATTAGGACGATATTTCTAATTTTTAGATTAGTAGAAAATGACATTTTTCAGAAATGGAAGGTGCAAATACAAGGCCGTGAAGTTACTTTTCGAAAATCTCACTGAATATAAAATGGTTATCATATGACTTTTAGTTTAATGTCAACGTTGACATCAACGCCCGAAAATTAGGCGCTTTGACAAGCTGTCATGCAGCTTCTATAGATTCTGTTCAGATAGCATAACAGAAAAACTATGGAAGCTGTTGAGATTGAAATTCATTTTATAACAGTACTCTACCGCAATATTCTATGTCCAATTAATTTACG